CCACTTATTTGTACTTTCCTGGGTTATATGTTTCCCCTGTCAACTTCTGTAGATTTATTCAACCAACATTTATCCAGCAAATCCTGTATACCAGATAAGGAGTATCCAGAGTAAGATGACAGATTCTTCATCCTCAAGAAGTTCATAGTCTAAGGAAGAATAAAAGCAAAAATTACAATAGTAGCCATTTTATTTTTCTAGTGCTGGGGATGAAACCCAGGGCTTCATGCCTGCTAGGAAAGCGCTTGACTATGAAGCCATGTCTCCAGCTTCAATAGCTGCCATCTTTCATGCTTACCAAATGCCAAGTATTTTACATGCAGCATCTCACAGGATAGAGTGAGGTGATTAAATGCGTGGGCTCCGAAGTAAAAAGAGCTGGAAACAACCCTCTCTGAGCCTGGCATGGTGAGCATTCCTGTAACTCTCGCACTCTGGAAGGCTGAAACAAGAGGATCTCATTTTACACATGGGCAACTTAATGACTCGAGGAGACCCTGTCTCAAAATTAAAAAAAAAAAAATCTTGCGGTATAGCTCAATGTGAAGGATGTGTGTTCAATTTCTATTACTGGAAACAAAAAACCCTCCCTCTGCCAATTCCTGCTTTATGGCCACTGTATGTATCACTTTTTTATGTGAATAATGAAAGAATAATAATAGCCAGTTCACAGGGTCCTCAGCAAGTAATATAGAAAAACTTAGTAAGATGTTGGCATAAAGTAAGAAGATAATAAATGTAAGCAGCTAGTGTTTTTTCTGCCAGTAACCACTTTGGGGCTTAGGAAACTTGAAGTTTAAGTGGTTCTGTAACTTTCCCAAAGTCCTACCGCAGTTAATGGGTGGAGTGGTATAATGCTTGCTCTTATCCACTACCCGCTACTGCATCTACAGCATGACATGTGCCTTTAAGGAAGAAGACTGGAGTACAACAGGAATAGAAGAGGAACACTTAACCCAGTCTTTTCAGAAAGGAGTTAAGACAGGCTCCTAGAGGAGATGAGGTTCAGCTCTTGAGAAATCAAACAAGAACTGGGCTGAAAAGCAATAGGGTAAGACAGATGTAGCGGCTACAGCCAAGTGGAGTCACTTTATCCCCAGGTAGAAACTTGTCAAAAGCATGATGAACTGAGGAGAAGCAGGTCCCAGGAATTGCATACGGGTATGGATGGACAGAAAGGGCTGGCCATGCCTTTGCTCCACTGGGCTATCAAAAGGCACTTCATAGACATAGGACGATGTCACTTCCTTCTCCCAGGGAGTCTTTCTTTTCCAGTTTGCGCTTCAGTTCTGTACTTACCTGAATTGGGCCCAGAAGAGCAAATTCTGGTTGCTATATTCCTTCCTTTTGAAAGATTAATTCTTTCTGGCAAATATGAGGATTTCAGCAATGTCCAGGGGACTGCACTTCCCATCTCTGTCTTCCATTCCCCTCTTTGGCTTTGTAATCTATTTACAGAGTCTCCCAATATGGGGGAGCTCTGCCTCAGCCACCTGGTGTGGATTTCTCTTCTATACTTTCTTCTTGAATCCTCGTATCTTCAGTCTGTGCCCCTCCTTGTGCTAGCAAGTTCAATATGTTTGTTTACTCCCTATTAAGTAAAAATGGGCTGGTTATTTTCTCTGCCATAATCTCCTCTATATTCAAATGCTATTATTTAGCTGTTAGAATTCTAGGGTTTGGTCAATAAGTATTTACACTGCTGTGATGCACCCAGCCACCTAGAAATGCCATCCCCTCATGGTGGACCATTCCTGTGAATTCCACTGAATCTGGAGGCCATCGAGCCTCCCAAATTTTACTCGAGCATACCTTTCAGCAGCCAGCTTCTCCTAGTGACCAGCTCACACTGTGACATTTTGTGCACCATATTGAAGGCATTCTCTACTAGCTCCCAAAACTGAGGAACAATCTTTCTCACCACCATCCTTTGTTCCCTCTTGTACAACAATGTCCATAGGAGCTCTTTAACTAGAACGGAGGGCAGATTTTATAATGCCTGGTCTTTCACTTTTAAGGCATCTTTATGTCAGTCAGTGGAACAACTAGCAGTACCCTCCACATTAGAGTGTTAATCACTGTTATTTTAATTGTTGCAGATGTGGAGAGTGAGGGAATGTGACATTATCCATTCAGGAAAAGCAACCAATTCAGGAAGACACTACCAACACAGTAATTGACAGATTTGCTTTGTTTGTGGTCTTGTTGTCTGGCATGCAATCAACAAACATTTATTAAATACTTCCAACTTCCAGGAACCCTGGTGCTTCAGAATGCCATTTGTATTTGCCGCAGCTGCTTTCTGTTTTTCCGAACCACAGCTGCTGCAGCTTCTGTCATCTAGCTTTTGCGCTATTTCCAATGCCATTGCTGACCTCCAGCCTATTCCCTGACTTCTGATATCTAGTGGATGCCACCTGGTGCTGGCTGTGGCTTCCTAGCAGGACAAGATTCTTGAGCCCCATATCTTCCCCACTTTTTGACCCTCTGTTAGCCTCTGTGGGGCTCTGGCCCTGACTGGTGGAGTGTCCTGGAAACTCCAATCTTGTGATGAATATCAGTTGCTATATATCCAGGTTCTTATGCCCTGGCCACTGAACTCCAGACTCTCATCTTACTGTTGATTATCAAATACTTAATCAATTGACATTAAATAAAAATAAATTGCTAGAAGTAGATAGGAGGATAGTGGCTATCAGAGTCTAAGGAGAGTGGCAGGAAAAAGGAGAGGTTGGTTAATGGGTATAATGCTACAGTTAAATAGAAGCCAGAGGCTTCGATGTGCTACTGCATAGTAGAGTGACTATAGACAACAATAACTTACTGCACATTTCTCACCAAGTAAAAGAGGAGATTTTGAATGTGTCACCACAAAAAATAATAAATGTTTGAAGGACTAAACATGCTAATTGCCATGATCTGATCATTATAGTATACATATGTATCACAAGTTCACATTTTACTCCATGAATTTGTACAATTATTGTGTGTCAATTGAAAATAAAACCAGATGGAAAGAAATGAGACTTTAAAAAAAACAAATTTATTAAGCTACGGATGCAGTTCAGTGGTGATATAGTGTACACACACACACACACACACACACACACACAACCAAATTTCTTCGCTCTAGGCTAGCACAGAAGCAATGTGATATGGAAAGAATGACAGAAGTTATCTACAACAGGCAGCCCTAAAGGAAGCCCCTGAATGTCGGGCCAGCGCCAAGCACAGTCTTCATCTGAGTGAACTAATTCACCACACAGTCTACTGCCTGTTCAGTGGCGAATGCAGTGAATATTCTCACTTTAATCTAGTGATAATAGTAATATAGTAGTTGACACATATTCACTCAGCTATTCAATAAATATTACTGGGTACCTCTTATGTAGTAACTACCTGGTATCTATGTGTCTCCATCCTCTTAAAAGTTTACATTTTAGTGGAGAACAAAAAACATGTGAATACAATACCTAATATAATTTTTAAATGTTATAAAGAAAATTAAACAGAATCATGGAATGGCGAATAACTGATGGAGCTATTTTTAAGTAGAGTGAGTGCAAAGGAAACACTCTCTGAAAACATGGCATTTCAGCTAAGATCTTCATGGTGATAAGGGGTTTGCCATGCAAAGATCTGGGAAAGCCCACTCCCAGACAGAAGGAATTTAAAAACACTTCACACTCATGTCCCTAACAAACCCAAGCAACTATGCCTCTCAAAACACATTTGTATTATTAAAAACAGTACATGTGGTAGGCATTACAATCCCAGCCTGTACTGGAAATTGCTGTCCTATGATGGGTATGAATTGCCATAATCCCAGCATTTTGGGAGACTGATACAGGAAGATGGCCAGTTCAATTCCTATCTGAGCAACTTTGTGAGATCCTGTCTCAAAATAAAAATTTAAAAAGGGTGGGGATGTAGCTCAGTGGGAGGGTTGCCCTTTTACTGAAGATAAAGTGTACCTACTCTTAACATTTCTTGTGTTCTGCACCTCTTCTGTGTATTTGGAAAATAGTTTATTATAGCCCCTCAAGAACTGAGGATTTTGTTGCTGTCTTTTATTTAGCACAGATTTTGAATACAAGGCAAAAGAAACCCTAGACATCAAACACATATTGTTGCAAATTTGCATGTTTGGGCATGAGGACAAAGGCAGGAAAGAATAATTTGTATAGTTGTCTAACACAGACTAATGTAGTTTCAGGTGGTCAGGCAGACTTGACTTGGAGCTCTGGCTCAGTGCTTACCAACTGGGTGTCCTTTAGCAAGTCATCTGTTCCTCATCAGTAACAATTAAGTTTTATAAGGATCTCAAATACAACTGGATGTCAAAGTGCCTAATGTGTTTATATATAATAAATTCTCAATAATATTTAATATATCTCATTAATAATAGCAAAGTGTCCATCTAAGAATCCTCAAGCTCCTCCACTGAGCTCATCATCATTTCAGCCCTAAGAAACCCATAAAATAAGTGTTAGAAATGGGAATTTGTCATGAGGTACAGGGTATATTTAGCATGTATAACATCCTAGGTTGAAGCTTCCAGCACCTAAAAATTTTAAAAGGGCAATTTGCTCTCATATTCACTCAGCTAGCAAGTATCAGAGCTGAATTTTAACTCAATTCAATGTAATCCAAGCACCATACTCTTAGCCACTCCATTTACTGCCTCTGCATAATTATAAAGTAGTAGATCACATGATCTAAAGCACAAAGAGGGTGTTGGTTGAACAAGAAGCTCTTGAAACACACCTGAAAGCTTTTAGGCTCTGTGTAGGCTCAGAGGAGGGAGGTGGTATTCTAGGCAGAAGAGCAAACTGTAGGACACAAGTGGGAGCAAACTGAGCTGGCTTTCAGTTGTGTTAGGAACAAGATCATTAGGCTACCTACTACAAATCTGATGGTCCCATACATATCCCCCTCAGGCCTGCCCTCTTTCTTGCTCTTGCTAGGAATTAATTAATATGCTGGTTGATCTCTTTTAGGCTCTTTGAAACCCTCCAGTCACTCTTTTGGTCTGTATTTGGCCTTCTAAATCTCTATGTCACCAATGTGAAAGCGAGACATGAGTTCACTGAGTTTGTGGGAGCTACGATGTTTGGGACATACAATGTCATCTCCCTGGTGGTGCTGCTGAACATGCTGATTGCCATGATGAACAACTCCTACCAGCTCATTGCAGTGAGTAACTTTACTCTTTTTTTTAATTGAACTCAGAGCCTTTGCACAGCCCTGGCCCATTTTATTTTATTTTTTTTTTTTTCATAACCGGGGATTGAACTCAGGCCCTTGCACTTACCAGGCAAGTGCTTATTCTACTGAGCTATCTCCCCAGCCCCCTTATTCTTTATTTTGAGACAGGGGTTCACTAAGTAACTAAATTGCTCAGGCTGGGTTTGAACTTACAATCCTCCTGAGTTAGCCTCCCAGAGTCTAAATTACAAGTATGTGTCACTATGCCCTGCTTAGTAGCTTAGCTTTAAAGGAGTATTTCTCTCCATTTTAGGAGGTCATACAGTGCCATGGAGCCCATAGCAATACCAATGAAAGTCTTTCTGTCTCAATTGATTTATATTAGTTTTTTCAGTTGTTAGACTCACTTCCTTCTTTCCAACACAATTTATCTTTTGACTCATGTCTATTACAGTGATGAAGCTTTTAGAGCTTTCCATAATTACAAACATCCTGCTGCAGCATGCATGCCCTAGGTTCACCACCACTGATTCTCAGTAACCTAAACTAGGATGTGCCTGCTAATAAGACTTTCTTGCTATCTGTTGGAAATGTTTTTAACATCTTTGAGTATGGTTTCATGCCCCAGTAAAGAAAGCTCAGGGGTTACGTGTATAATCAGCTGCCAATGTGCACCTCACTCATCCCTAGGTGAATCCAGCTAATGCATTTCTCTATGTAAGGGAGCCTTATCTCCCTATTTATAGCAACATCTTCCAAATGGAGAATTCCACTGACAAGGATGATCTCAGAAAGAGAGGTTGGTTTAATTTGTTTTTTGATCAAGCATATAAGAGTAACTTCATCCCACTGTGAGGTGCACTTAGGTAGATTTCACTGATGATTTTTAAAAACCATCATGTTATCATGTCAGTCAGAGATGGTTATGACTGTAGATTACAAACAGTGAAAGTAGAGGATATGTGATCAGTTCAGACCCTATGTTGGATTTTGATGAAAACGTTAGATATTTTTTATAATGTATAATCTGCCTATCATTTCTAGAAATGGTTCATTAACAAAGGAGTTATCTGAAGTCTACCTTAGCTGGATATCACTGAATTGGTATATTTAGTGATATTATTAAAGTTGAAATGCTAGCTCACCTCCATCAGTCAGTCTGTTGCTAAAAGTGCTACAATACTGAAGGCATATGATAAAATATATGAGTCTTTTTTGATATTAATTTTATTGATTAACAAATAGCAATGAGACAGTTTAAAAACAGGTTAGTAGGACAGTTATAATAGTTAATACATTGCATATTGTTGTCTTTCTAGTAGTTATTCATAGTACAAGATGCAGACATGATATCTTGTCTAAATACTATTAGTTAGGGGGCCTGCCCCTTAGCTCAGCTCTTTAAGTGGTTGCTTCAACAAAGCAATCAGGCTCAGGTTGCTGTGGTTCGATCCCCACAACTCAAGCCAGGCAAACCTGCCCTGAAGGCATTCGGAGCAAAAAATAAAAAACCTTAAACACTATTAGTTCAAAACTTTCTTCTCATTGAACTAAGAGAAAGTAGCTGTGTATCTATGCTATTTTGTATATACAGATATATATTTTTTTCACTACAAAAGTAAGGTCAAGGACAGATAGTGAGGTTAAACCCAACTGCATATGTTGTACGGTAATAATAAGCTTTTCTTTTGGAGGGTTAACAACTTAAGTTAGCACACCAAAAATTAGAAAAATAGAATGGCTGCAAGGGCAGCCAACATTTTGATCCTAGCTTTTCAAGGTCAGTGAAAACTCAGGACATAGGAGAACCTATACTGTAACATCATGTAATTCAGTTGTGTCTCAAATTTTCTGATCAAGGGGATTATGGGGCCACAGAGCAACATGATTGATGCCATAGAGTGTGCCTAAGGAGAGTCACATGGAAAGAAAACATTCTTTCAGGGTTTTACAGAGAGCAAATTGGTCAAGTAATGGTCATGACTCATCCACATGGCTGACACTGACAAAGGATCTACAAAGTGCAGTCCAGGGCTACAGGATAAATCCTGAAGGTGCTTGACTGACCTTATCAGATACAAAAGTTACATTTCTTGTTATATAGGTATTGCTTTATCTTGGTCTTTTTTTTTCATCTTGGTCTTGGTCATCCAGCAGAAAAGTATAAAAACGAGGTATATAACGTAAAACCATATTAATATGCTAAGCTTTGAAAGGCTCAAGTCAACACCTTCTGCGGATAACCCACCAATATTGTGAACTGCTGGACTATGTTGGATTGTTTTGCTGAATTCACGTACCTATAGTATTTAGACGCCAATGGAATACCCATCTCTGACAGGACTAAACAAAAAAAGGGGAAACAAAGGAAAGACCATTGTGTATTTGTATATACAGAATAGTTAGGATAGATATACAGCTACTTTCACTTAATTCAATGAGAAGAAAGATTTTTACTAATAGTGTTTGGACAGGATATCCTGTCTGCCTCTTGTACTATGGATAACCACTAAGAAGCTAACAATATACAATGTATTAATTATTGAAACTGTCCTATTAATCAGTTTTGAAATTGTAAAAAAAAAGAATTTTGTAACATTACATATTTCATAATAAAAATTTTATAATAATAAAAAGTAAGGTCAAGGACAGCCTGAAGTACATAATGAAACCCTGTGTCAAAAAAAAAAAGACTCAGATAGATGACAAAAGATCTATCTGAGTCTTTTTGATATGTGGTTTCATTACGCGGTTCAGGCTGTCCTTGAACTTACTATGTAGTCCAGGCTGGCCACAAACTCACAGTGAGTCCCCTGTCTCAGCCTCCTGAGTTCTGACATCACAGGCAAGTATCACCACGTCTAGCTTAAAGACTTGAGTATAGATGTTTGCTCCAAGATGTTGTCTCAGATTTGATTGGCCACAATGAGTTATCTACCTTTCAGAGGAAAAAAGCTTAAATTGTTGGACACACACAGAGTACATATTTCTAGAATATCATTGCTAATCGTGAAAATCTGTACTACATTTTCACTAAATTAGTACCAAAGAAGAATAGATACACATTTCTTTAGATTTTTATTTTTTGGAAGTACTTTTTATAGTTTGGATTTGAAATATCTCTCAAAACTCACATATTAAAGGCTTGGTCCCTATCCCATGGTGATACTGGAAGATGGAAGAACCTTTAACAAGTAGGGACTAATGGGAGAAAGTTAGGTCATGGGCCATGTCCTTTAAGGGTATTGTGGCACCCTGTTCCATTGCTTCTGCTCTCTTTGCTTCTTAACTGTTATGAGGTGAACAAGTTTCCTTGTTATAGACTCCTGTTATGATGTTGTATACCACCAAAGGTCAAAAGCCATAGGATCAAGCAACCATGGACTTAAACCTCTGAAACCACAAGCCAAAATTATAATTTTTCTCCTTCATAAATTGATTTTTCTCAGGTATTTTGTAACAGTGAAGAAAGGTTAACTAACATCAGTAGATTTATAGAATTTCTGTCATTGGAGAGTTTAAAATGTGTTTGGAGAGTTATTGCATGTGTTTGTCTACTTGAAGGGGTTAGATCCTACGTGCTTAGGTGATAGAAAAGGAAAGGAATATAGCAGAAAAAATACAAGCTTAAAATCCAAATCGTAATTCTCTTTTTAGCATTCATGACAAAATGACGTTTGTTGGGTACTTACTTTCCCTTTTTGGTCTTCCATTTCTTCATCCCAAATATTAGAGAGTAGAAATTAATTGTCTTTAATAATCTTGCCAGATATATGAGTGTGTGTGTGTCTACAGATGAGCAAGATAGACCTTCAAGGTCCTTTCCAGATCTGAAATTCTGTTCACATGTGATGTGTTTGAAATGGAGTACAACTCCATTTTGTTCTCTCTCACTTGTTTTCTCTCTTTTTCATTCAAACTCAAGTAAACTGGAACCTCTAAAATAATCTGTGCTTATTTGTAGACTGCTTCTAGAAGGGGACAAAGGCAGGCATGGAAACTCAGGGGTTGGTTTTTCCACTTCTACTAAAGATGGCAATAATCATGCTAGGGTACTTGTAGTTTCGTCACTGTGTATTTGGCTATTGATTGATCCTAATGACAGTAGGAAAAAAAAAAACTTTCTTAGCACCTAATGCAAAGATATTGTATAGCCCAGTGAGTTCAGCAGTCTCTCTAGGAATCTTGGAATGCATCAGCTCTAGCCTTCCTGTTATCACCTGCTGGTGGTAGCTTTTGTTTTAATAGCACCTGCTGCATCTGAAGAATACACCTTAGCTCCTGTCTGCCAGAAGACAGCCTGGAGTAGATGGCCTGAGTATGGTGTATACCATCTTGCATATCTGTATCCAGCCAAAAATTGTGACTACTATGTGCTGTTTTGCAATTTCCCAGGATAATACCGTTACCATTTGGAAATGAATCAAATGGGATGCTGATATTGGGCATCTGGTTCCAAAAATATCTGGATCTGCTTAAATGGTAAAGTAGATCTACTTTCATTGGCAATATCTCTACTTTGGTAGCAAATACAAATTTTAACATGGCCCTAATATGGAGGAAAGACTACAAAGACAGAAAGCACTGAAAACAAAATTTCCCTCCTTCAAAGGAATCACAGGCTGGTGTGGTCTAGGAGAAACTCAGTTGTCAGTGTGCCTGAACATGAATCTATTCAGTGTACATTCTTCTTTAGAGCTCAACAGGTAATACTAATACTTTGAAAGTGAGAGCTCTTCATCAGTTTTCCAGGTAGGGTTCAGAGATGCTAGTGATGTATATGTAGAACCTTGTAACAATTTGTATTTCTATGCTACCTGAGGCTCTGTTTCAGTGGTGTGTAGAGTTATATTCAAGATATGATGTCCTAGGATAAAGAGGTCTCAGGACATTTGGGGTTCTCCAGTCACCTTGGTAACTTCCCTCCATAGTGCTGGCTAGATTCTATTTAAACCCACTCTAAAAGTATGCACCCCTGCATGTGCAAT